CTCCAACACGTAAACTCTTCCAATTGAATCTCAATTTCTCATTCACCCAATTATTATTTTTGGCAAGTAAATGTATGATTTCGATGTTTTCAATATTAGTTGTTTTCTTTGTTTCTTTAGTACCTTTAGTGGTTTCTATCCATGTCATGTTCCTTAGATTATTTACAAGTGGTACCTATCTAGTATGCTCTTTCACGACATGTTCTATGGAGACGAACATGAATCAATTTTGATAATCTACAATGAATGAATGGGTCTCACTCAATATTATACCAAAATAGCCCCATTTATAAGCCATTTTCCAACAATTGCCCATGTGATTGAAAATTGAGAAAGACACGAAAACAAGAAATAAAAAGACTAGGTAAATAAGTTCAATGGTTGAAACCTGCACAGGATATGTAGGCATTACCCTTTGAATATATTTACTTTGCTAGTTGACCAAGGGACATATGTCTTTGAAGGTTATGCTTTTTATGTAAATGATGATATACTCTACCCATAATTCTTCCCAACGTAATTCAGTTTTCATTGTTATCTATGTTTGTGTCCATGAACATATGCCCCTAGTTCTACGAGAGTTTCTAAGAATTGAGCCCCCACACAATTTCCTTAGAACCGGCCCCACTTCTATCTCACATAGGTGATTTATTAATTATAAGCAACAACATTACTCCGCTTGATTTTTGATAGATAAAAATTATTAAAAGCCTATTGCTTCATTTATCCTTATTGGCATTACCGTTACTTCATAGAAATTGACAAGAGATAACATAGGAGATAGCATCCTCCAAAGTGATTCGATTATGTCTTTATAATTAGGTTGTCCATTTGAACCTAGATCTTGAGATTTCCGGTGAATTAGTTGGTTTTCATTGTATTAACTCATTCGTTCAAAGGCTCTAGTCCAATTTTTCTTTGACCTTTTAACTTACTCTCTATCCATGCTTGGAGTTAGTGGATCTACAATGTTATTCTTTGACCTCACATAGTCACCAATATTAACTCAGGTTTAGTGTAATTGCCTTATAGTATTATGTCTACAACATACGTCTAGACTTACCATTATACATGTTGCTCTATGCCTTTCCAATGGCAGATTGACTATTATAATGTATGCAATTGTTGGCACATGTTTTGACTATATAAGAATATCCTTTAAAAAGTTGTGTAACCGCTCCACCTCTTGACCACATTTGTCCAATGCTATATACTTAGATTCCATAGTAGATCTAGCTATAAACTGTATGTTTGGAGGATTTCCACGATATAATTGCACCTCCAAATGTATAGAAAGCTACTTGAAGACTTTGAGTCTTTTATATTTGTAGGTCTAAATTATACTGCAAGCTCACATGTTAAGTTTTATAATATAACTGTGAAGTTAGGATGTCGAATCCACAGGAATTGATAATCAAATTTATATTAAATACTATAATTGAAATAACAGTTACTTTATTTAGATAATCGAAATTTATGATATCAATGTAATTAACTAAATCTAACGTGAGATTTTGATTAAATCAACGATCGAAAGCAAGTTTACAAGTATTAAGCAATATGAGATGATCTTGGGGTTTTGATTTCATCTAACTATCAATTATGTTTCTTAATTCTCTAAATATCTCCAATTGGTTTTTCAAGTTTATTAGTGAGAACCCTAATATATTTCAACTCCCTCTTTGGAGTGTCAAGGGAAAATCATTCTTAAATTTTAGTTACAATATCTCTATCCCAAACAAAAAAATCTAAGAACTCACAAGTTTTGTGGTTCTTTGTGGAAACGCTTTTAAGGATTTATATTTATACATGCATTTCAAATCTTTGTGGAAATCTTAATCTGGCCACGTTCTAAAAATACTTGATGCAATAATGATGATCCTCAAAAAGTATTCAAATTCAACATATACCGATATTTATACATGCATTTCAAATATTGTATCTAGAATAAACTTTCTCATACTTATCACATAGATACAAGCATGTTCATAAAACTTTCTTTACCTCGAAATCGGCATAGTGTGGCTATGGCAAGCATACTACACAAGATCCTCATTAAAATTTTTGATCAACTTTATATGTGACACAATACCCTAAAGATATAGTTTTTTTTTTTTTTAATGCAAGTCTATAGGAAATAAAACTACGCTCTGATACCAAGTTATAACGCTCTGAACTTTCGAAATCCGAAGCGTTATAAAATAAAATCAATCTTTCTTTGGGTTGACCTCTTTCATGTTAACCCCCAAAAAAATTGCAAATGAGAAAAATTTTGGAGTTTGAAATATATGAAAAATAATGAGAGACGTTTGTCCATGTAAACTTAGACTCTTATGGTAAGACTTGATATTTGGAGAACATTTGGGAAAAATTTCAGCAATTATCAGTTTCGCAGCAGTGGAAAGAAAAATATGTTTGGTCTAGTAAACGACAACTAAAAATTTTGAAATTTCAACAGAGACTAAAACATTCATATTTATACAACATATAAAAATTTGGGATCTTGACGATAATGTTTGAAGGATGAAAATATTGTTTGACTCTGCTGGACATAAAATTTGGATTTGACCTGATGCAATTTACTAAAACGGGCATAACTTTTTCTCTAGGTAATATTTTTGGGTAATTCTAAAGGAAACTATTAGAAGACTTGTAAAACTTTCAAACCATACTGATTTCGCTCTAAAACATGCACTACAGCCCAAGTTATGCTACTTTGAGTAGAAGGGCAGAATCTGAAATTTCATTACAGCAATACTTAAATTCATGCATAGTCAAATACAACATTTTTAAATTATAGTCGACGTACAATGCATATAAAGCTAGATGAAAGAGATATCTAAAATTTTTTAAAAGTGTCATCTAAGTATTAGAAACACATTTACACAAACAGGAAATTTTACTAGAAAGTTGACAGCTTTTTTTTTTTTTTTTTAATCACCGAGCACTTCCCACTATGCCAAACCACGTCCATGCCTTGAATCAACCTGTGAAATTTGAGTAGGGATGAGTACCATGAATAATACTCAGTAGGAAGGCACTAAAATAAGTGGTAAAATAATATATATTTTTGAAAATGCAAACTGTGGTCATTGGTGTCACCGTCAATCTCTTTCTCTTATTTCAAACACCAAACGGTGCTTCTTTCATGAGTGACACATCAACACAAATACAAACTTTGGTTATCAATGTCACCTTCAATCGTTTACTTCATGAGTAACACAATAACGCGTCTAATGCAAAACGAAAAATAAAAAATTCTTACATCACTTACAAAAGTGCAGTAAACACCCATATCTTAATGCTTGGAGTTTGAATATCCTTTCGTGTCTAAAGAAATAAAATGCAGCGCACTTTTAGTGTCCTCTTCAAAGAATTTTTAGATTTAAAGGTTCTTTAATCTATGGAAAAGGGCAAAATAAAATGGGAGAGAAAACGTGGCTAAAGGAATTTAAATTTGAGTTATCGACTTTAACTTATGGCCTTTAAAATGAAAAGGGACAGTTATTATTTTCTAATTCCAAATGAAGTGGTGGTGGGAAAATGATTTTAAAATGGAAGTTACAAATGGGTGTGGTTAAGAATTTGAAATGTAAATCTTTAAATGCAAAGGATGAACATGGATGGTTTTGGCATTGGCAAAAGTGGAAGTTATTAAATTGGTAAGTTGGAATTTTTACAAATGTGGGTTTGTACGTCAACATAACTTCCAAATTAAAAAAAGTAGTTTAATATTCATACATATATATTTTGGTAGTTAACAAAGAAAAGGGAAGTTAATGTAGAAAGTGGAGTAGTTAAATAAACTTAGAGGATGGAAAAACCGTAAGAAGAAATCAAGATAATGGAATTGAACTTGAGTATAATAAGCATATCTAATTCTTAAAATTTAAGGTAGCAATTAATATAAAATGTGTCATTAAAAATAATGTAACAACAAAATTTTGTCATCTAAATGAGATTTTGATGCCTTACAAATTTTTTAAAAACAAGTACGCGAAACTATCGTGACCAAAGCTTTAATTTGAACACTTAAGGAAGGGTCATATCGACGTAATAATATAACCCAACTTATATTCGAGTTATACAAGGAAGTTTATTTTAAAACGAAACAAAACCTTCTTTTTTTTGGGCGCTACATCTTATGCTTCTTCTAGGGGCATTGACACCTAGGAGCTCCAAATATAGTGCCCCGGCACCCAAGTTCTGCTCTATTTTTTTCTCCTTTGTCCTGCTAAGAGTGGCGCCTAAGCGCCAGATGGTAACGCCTAAGTGCTATATCGTATAGTTTTCCTTCTTTGTTTCTCAAGCACTTTAGTTCATTTCTTGCATTCACTACAAGAATTTTATGTTTTCCCTACAAAATTTATTTGTGGGGAAATACCTTTGCAGACAAAAAAAGTTTGTGGGCACGTTTGTGGGGCAAACATCGAGGGGATAGGTATAAGATGACAAATTTTTGAAATTTGAGGGCTAAGGTTTTTCCTACGAACCCTTTGGAGACAAATACAATTCGTAGGGTAAGTTTTCCTCCGACAAAGTAATTCGTCTGCTAAAGTTACTTCTACATACGAAGCGATTTCGTTTGTCCCTACAAATTATCTTGTGGGCTAAATCGTGTTTGTCCCCACAAATAATATTTTGTATGGAAAATTTATTTGTGGGCCAAGATATAAACATCTTTTCCTACAATTAAACGTTTGTGACAACGTGGAACAAATTATTTTGTGGGCTGAATCCTGTTTTTCTACAAATAATTTTTAGTGAGGAAATGATATTTGTAGGCTATTAAAAAATTATTTGTAGGGAGAAATTAAAACTATTTCTATATTTTTTATTTATTATTTATATTATACTAATTTTTTTAACCTCATTCAAAATAATATAAAGATACAAAAATCATAATAAATCAATTAAAACGTAATGTAAATCAATATTGACTCCAAAATATTTCATCAAAACACGAATAAATGACATTCACGAAGTATGATTACATCTAAAGTTAAAATAAGTAGAGCAAACATGCTATATATCTATTATTGTGCAAATAAAGAACATGACCCTGCATACAACAATTGTCATACTACTTAATCTAATTATAATTTTCTAGCCTTTTTTAATCTAACTTTGCAATATATATTTTGTGTCTAACATGGTAGATAAAACACGATAAAGTGCGGTGAAAGGAAAGAAATTTTTGAAGACTTGCTTCTATTCATTGTCTTGGGATAGTTGAGCTTCTGATTTAGAAGCAGAACCTAGTGAGGTAAATTTTGAAGACTTGCTCCTATTTGCAGCATCCACCAAACAATTCAAAGGTTTCCAAGGATCAACTTTCACTTCCCTTGGTTCAAAACCACTCTCTCTTCCATTATTTGGTGTTGTGAGGCTAGATGGATGGATAGCACTGGAGTTCTGCAAAAGCAAGGTCACTAAGCATGAAAAGTTGAGTCTGTGGAGATATGACAAGGCAGGTAGAATAAAGCATATGGAAGAAGCCTATGTATGAGGCAATGTTTGTCAAGCTTCAAAAATATATTCCTTACCTTCCTGTTGTTCTGAGAGAATTTGTTCAAAGTCTTGGGTGAGCTAGAGCTATCGAAATGGTCTTCCATGGAGTCTTCATCATTCTTAAAAGGTTTCTCTATGGTAAAACTGGAACCTCTTGATGCTTTCCATGCAACAGACTTTGATCTTCTTCCTTTCATGGTAAAACTGCTTTAGTGTAGTTCACTATATCTAAAAAGAAGAAAAACAAAACTAGAAAGAAATGAAGAAATAACCAATAATTCACGGGACAATCAAATAACCTTCTTGACTACAAGACATACTTTTAGCTCACCCTAAATCCATTATTTGGTTAAATGAGGATTCCTATAAGAAAAACCTCCATAGCTTTAGTGAAAAACAAACATGTAAAAAGTAGTGAAATATTCGCTAGAAGAAAAATATGTCAAATATCTCATATTAACAAAGTAGACGATGCAAAATATGTAGGTTCAGCAACTACAGTTTAGACGCAATGAATTTTCAGAGGAAAAAAAAAAAGAAAAAAAAAACTGACCATCATACATACCAAAGACTGACTTCTTTGCTCAAAACCTTGAGTCTTAGCTCCATGTTTGCTTGTAGCAAGAACTCCATAACTGAAATCTTGTCCACCAAAAGACTCAATTTCTTAATGGCAGTACTAAATTTCTATTCATTTAAAATTATCTTAGTAAATAAACTACATGAAATATCTAAATCTATTCATTTAAAATTGTCTTTTTTCTCAACTTTTTAATGGTAGTACTAAATTTCTCAATAATATTAGCAGACTAGCTAAAAGGAACTAGAATCTTGAAACTCCTTATTTTTGTTGTTATTCTTCCTGTCAAAAGCCTTGACCATACCCACGGCATTTGTAAGGGCCTCATTTACCTTGAGGAGTGCATCCTGAGCAGGATAGAACTCTTATAATTGTATTCATCATTAACTTCAACATCCTCTTTCTCTTTAAAATAGCAATAAATTGTGATAACTTTTTATCTCTAGCACCAGGAAACAGGGCCAACACATTGACCTTTGCTCTCGTCTCTTGCCGGATCGAGTTAATTATGTTTCCACTCTTTCCAATCACGTTCCCAATAGCACCATCAAGACAACGAATCCTATACACTATTAGTTCATCATTACCCTTGTCATCCCTGTCTCTTTCTCTATCCAGTTGCCTCTTTTGGTTCTTGATATCCCCGTTATCACAATGAGAACTAAAGCGCTTTCCATTTTCACCCATTCCAAACTACAAAACCGCTCCCCTGAATGCACTGAATTCCAAACTTTGAATTTGAATCAAAATCAAACGGCAAAAATTGCAACTAAAATTCACAAAATAATAATAATTAATATATAAAAGGTCATAAATAAAAAGAAACTTTTTTTCCCTTCCTTCTTTCCACATCAAGCCCCTAAAGTTTCAATTTTTGTTCCCATTTGTCAGAGTTTTGATCTAACACAGAATAATGTCTGGAATCTACTACCCATTCGTATTGCTAAAATACACAACTATTTATAATGAATCACATAGAAAAAAAATACAAAACCCATTAAATGTATTATTTCACGTATAGACAGAAATAATAGTGATCACTCAAAAGGGCCGTTACCTTCAAAGAGGCAAAATTCCAGAAATCCTTCAATTTCAATGAATAAGAACTAAAATTGAGAATAAATTAAATAATTAAAAAAAGATTACACCTGGTCAGCTGCTACAGATATTTTTTTGTGGGTTGGAATTTTGCCCCCGTTCTTGGCCTTCATAGCCTAGAGTCCCCACTTGCGGTACATCTGGGAACACGAGTTCTTCTAGACCCCATATCGTAGCCAAGTAACCAATAGCCCATCCCATCCCACCATTAAAAAGCAAAGGGGATTGAATGTAGATAGGAGAGGCGACGGTGAGAGGGGTTAGGGTTTTGGAAATTTTAATAGAAAGGGAAAATGAAATGTGTCGATGGAAGAGAGATGTTTTAAGGAAAAGTGGGAATGAGAATTTTCAAAGGGGGTAATTAAAAATTTTTCATGGAGGGAAAATTAAATAAGAATAAAAATTGGTCAATCAAAACTTGCATTTAAGAAATGTTTTTTCTTTTTTTAAATTTTGCTTTTAAGAATAAAAATTGGTCAATCAAAAAACTGATGATGAGGGTTTTTATTTTTGGATTTTGTTAAAAAAATGTATTTTCACTTTTTTTTTAGTGATCTTTTAACTTCAAATATTTGTGGGGACTAAAACTAAAGATAGTAATTGATAATTTTTCTCCTTAATTATTAGCCTACAAAGAGGTCTAATATTTTTGTTGGGAAGAAGATATATTTTTCCTGACAAATTGTTTGTCGGGAAAAGATACAATTTTTGTGGGCACAAATTTCTCTAATACTAAAAATTTTGAATTAAAACTTAACCATACGAAACATTTTCTTGTGGGTAAAAGTGAATTTCGCAGATAAATCTCAATTAGTCTGTGGAAATTTTGTAGGGAAAACATATATTTCTTGTAGTGATTCTTGTCTATTTCTAACTCTTCTTTTCCTTGATTTATATCATCGTGGTCTTTTCTCCAACCTTTATACCTTATCCACCAATTCATCTAACTCATACAATGATATGAAAGAACAAATCAAAATATTTTGAAACTCTATAAGGTAAACAAAATATCAAGTTTAAATGGTAACAAAAGCATGAGTGAAACGCACTTCATAATATCAGATGTCTAGTTAATATCACTTTATCTTTCAATGACTCCTGGTATAGAGTAGCCTATAGTTACGAGTGTATCTTAAGTACCTCAGTGCTCTTATTATTCCTTTCGATTGATTAGCTCTTAGATTACTCGTGTATTTACTCCTTTTAGTAATTGTGTAAACTATATTTGATCTTGTACAACTCATCAAGTACATCAGATTTCTAATAATTTTAAAGTACTCTATTTGAGAGACACTCTAACCTTTATTTTTAGATAAATGTTGACTTGTATCTATTGGTATTTTACTCATGCCAGAATCATCATTATTTATTTTTTTAAGAATTTTATCCACATCATGCATTTGACTTAGAACGAGTTAATCTGATGTAAATAGAAATTTTAACTTTTAACTGTCACATCAGCTAAACCTATATTTTTCATTTCAAATCTTGAATTCAACATATTTTGAGTAAATTTAATTATCTTATTGTTACTACCAACTATAGCATGCTATCAATGTAAAGACATAAAATAACATAATCGTTTCTAAGGTCTTTGACGTAAAAACATTTTTCACACTCGTTAATCTTTAATTCATAATCCATCATGATATTATCAAACTTTTCATGCCACTATTTTGGTGATTTTTCAAACCATACAATGACTTTACCAATTTATAGGCTTTCTTTCACTACCCTGGTTATGAAAATTCCTCAGTCTGTTCCATGTAAATTTCTTCCTGTTAATCTTCATTAAAAAAATAATTTTATTATTTATTTGATATACTTCAAAATTTTTCAAAGCTGCAGCAACAAGTATCATCCTAATAGATGTTCTTCTTGTTATTGAAGAATACATAGTATAGTAATTAATGCTCTTTCTCATTGCATGTTACATTTTACCTCTTATTCTTCTCAATTGTTCCATATGCTTTCATTTTCTTTTGAAAATTCATTTGTAATCTAGTGGTTTGCTTTCAGCAAGAAGGATCGCTAGTTTCCATGTATGATATTCCACTTTCAATGTCATATTTCCATTGAGATCCTTTTGAAGAATTCACAGCTTTTTGGAAGTTTTGATGTTCACTTTCCAGGATATATGTCAGAAAATCAACACCAAAAGATTTTTTTTGTCCTTTCTCTTCCTTTATCTTTTGCTGCATTTTGGTTTAATCACAACTTCTTATTTCTTATCCTTAGTGTTGATTATTTCCAACCATAGTCTCATGTGTCCATTTAGAGGAGCTTGCTTCCCCTTTTAATTTGTATGGAAATATATACGTTCAAAGAATGAAGCATTTCTTGATTTTATTATCATGTTTTTATGTATGTTTGGGATTTTAAACTCGTGCACAAGAAATCAATAAGAACTATTATTATATGCATAGTCAATTAAGATTTGGTCTATAGTTTTTAGGCTTATCTTCACCTTCTTTGATGTTGGTACAACCACTTTAGGAAGACATCCCCCCACTTGTAAGTATTTCATTTACATAACTCATAGGGGCTCTTTTCTTTTTTCCTTCGATGCACTTTATATAAAAGGTAATTTTTGAAAAGCACAACTACTCTTCACATGTTCAGAAATAACCTAAAACTTACTAACAATGGATTCATCATTTCTTTTAAAGTAAATTTTTTTTTATTCTGTAACATCATTTTGTGGGGGTGAATAAGCTAACGTGATTTCATGTATAATTTCGTGTTGTGCACAGAATTAAAAAAATGACATTTCATACTCACCACCTCGTCACTTCTCAACATCTTAATTTTCTTATTTAGTTGATTTTCAAATTCATTCTTATAAAGAATATATTTTTCCATTACTTCACCCTTACTTTTAAGCTGATACACAACAATATTTTGTGTTATCTTCGTCAAAAGAAATTAAATACTTGTTGCCACCTTTTATTTTGTACAAATTTAAAAATTACATACGTCACTATGAATTAAATCAAGTGGTTATGTATATCTTTCATTTGATTGAAATGATGGCCTTGTCAATTTTACCCCAATACAAGTTTTACACTTAAGTTTAGAATCAATATGGAATGTGATATGCAATCTTCGGTTAACTAATCTACGTGAATTAGCATATTTAATATGTCCTAGTTTACTATACCATACATTGTAGGACTCAAGCTAGCATACAAAAGAATTGACTTTATTCATTTTTTATCATTATAATAAGTGCTACAACTTTAAGGTTGCAAACCCAAGTGCAGGTTGTCGCAAGTAGTAAATCTCGGAAGTCCGAGGTCGAACCACAGGGAATTGGAAGGAAATAAACTATTCTATGAGTAATGAACGGTTGGTGGAAATACGATTGAGACGAACACTAGAGCATCGGGGATTCACTTCGGATAAATGAGTAGAAATTGACCTTGATCTTTAATTTAACTCATATGAAAATCAACTAAGAAGTCATCTCATATGGAAGATAAAACATTGATCACAAATATATTGAATGATAGATCTTGATAATTGTTTGAGAGAATATGTCAAAATAAGTTGTTGGTATGTAGAGATTACCTAAGCATTTATTGTGCCAAAATTGTCAACAATAAATCAAAGTCTTTAATAAACCAAAACCATTTGTAGAACATATACTTCAACCGTGTAAGAAGATGAACATTGAAGAACAAAATGAAAGATCAAAGACAATACTAAACATTCATCAAAGTTTCACCCCTAGCTCTAGCTAAATGTTTAGAAATACATAGTGAAATGTTACAAAGAAAATGAAGGAAACTAGAATATGATGGAGAGAACTGATTCTTCAAAATCGTGGCCAAGGTCCCCTTTTATAGGCAAAGGAACATCCAAAATTCAAGTAGGCAATGCAACTTGTTTCTGTCCAGCTTCAAGACAGCTGGAACATGCAATTTGATGCCAATTTTCAGATATATTGTGCAGCGAATTTGGACTTACGATCAACAGATAAATTATTGCCACCTGAGTTAGCTTTCCATTGGTTCAAATATCAGGTTCATTGGATCTATATAACTCCAGATATGACAAAAACAATAAGTGCTGCTTCACAGGTAAAGCTGTATCCGGCAGGTAACAAGCTGGACTTTGCACGGTAATTTTGGCTGCCTTGTGATACGAATTTGACTTCTTCCAAAACATGAAAGTTGTAGAAACGTGCCTTATCTTTCCAACCGAACTTGAATAAGCTCGATCCAATGTCTTCAGCTCATGTTATTATTATTTTACCGACAGCTGCTTCTTGCTTGAGGCGCTCACTATTTTTGACTTTTCAACATTATTTTCCTCCACTTGCTCCACTTGTTCTAAATTGGAAATACATGTGAAATACATCAAATAGATACTCTTTCAAATGTATAATACTCATGCCGACATGTATGTAAATACGTATTTCAATTAATTGCATTTTTATCCATGTATTTATGGAAATTGAATTTACGGCTAGAGAATTGAAATTAGAGACTAACATTAGTGTTTTTAAACAAAGTGAATGTAAAGTGCCTTGTAAATGATATATCTTTGAAGAACTTTTAGACACTAATCACTAAGGTTAAATAATCCATCAGATATCTAACATTTACCAACAAACA